TTTAGATTTTGAAGTGATCCCTCAAATTAACCAACTTTCTTTGCAATTTACAAGTTCTACAATTCCTATGCACCCATGCATTCCTATGCACCACTTCTTTGCTGACTCTCCCAAACACAGATCACTTTCATGACCACATAATGCTCCTTATTCTTGTTACTATCGCACATGGTGACCTTTATCACTATTCATATTCTATATCCCGGAATGGTCCATTTGTGGACTATCAGCTGCCCGCATGTGCTCCTCAGTACACAGGGAGCTTCCCAACGTGGATCAACATGGCTCAGTAGCCTTTCTGTCCCTTACTTTTCACTCTAGGTCTTCACCCTCCTACTTCTCATTTCTTATATAAGTGCAAATGGGATACACAAGTGGGAAGCACCTGGATCAATCAAAAAAGGCAGCAAAAGGATCAGGACTGTCTGGAAAGTTGCCAAAGCCCTATTAGACATCAAGAAACTCCCTGGGCTGTTGAGGAGGGAAATATCCACTAGTGACTCCTTGAATTACAAAGATGCATTTGTTAATACTATTGCACTCCCCTTATTCTGACTCTTGCCCCTGGGCCAGCGGTTGGTGCCCGAGGTTCTTTCTCTTGCTGCTTTCTGGGAGAGATATTTGATACCATTTTTATGCAATAATCACCACTTTAGGTCACGAGCAATGAAAGGACCTAACAAACAAAACTAACCCAAGCGGGAACCACTTGAGCTAAAGTAGCTTGCAGCAATCAAATGCTGTCATCTTCAGTGTAGACCAGAAAGAACATAATGCTCTTATTTTTATATTAAATGCTCCCTCATAAAAGGAGAAAGATCCTGGACTTTCAAAGTATACAGAAGTTCAAGTATTTGTACAAACATTGCGTGTCTGTCATGCTAGTTCAGCAGCAGGATAAAACCGCAACAGAAGTGCAAACCTCTGTAATTCAGCTGATGCTAAGTATAAGACACGGGTCTCACACAGAGATTTTCAACTGTAAATAACAAAAGCACTCCTAAAAGCAGCCACCATCATCATGCCATACTGTTTAAACGGAGAAACTGAGGCATGGTGTTTTGCCGTGGTCACAGCTAGAAACCGAACTGAAATCTCCCCACGCCTGACAGAGCTCACTTGTGCTAAGGCATCCTGGGGACAATAGTGAGGGTTCAGTCACCAGAGAATGTGACAAATAGCTGAGCACTCAATAAACTTGTCTTTCTATCATAAAATAGGGGATACTTGAAAGACTTGTTAAGTATAATCTGTGGATAAAGTGTCTATCTTGTTTAACACATATTAAGACACAAAATTGTGTTTGTCTGTCTCCCATTATGATTTCACTGCTTCATCTTGCCTGGCCTTTTCAAAGGGATCACAGTTCCACTGGAATTAATGGAAGTAGGACTGAGAGTGGTGCATGCTGTTAGGCACTAATCTGTGAATTATCTGCAAATATTTGAACACAGAGGAATTAAACCTGCATTTTTTATCTTACCTGGGAGGAAAGAGAAGCACTTTTATAAAGATCTACATATGTTCACAGAACGTCAACTGAAAATGCAGCTAACGTTGTCTTTGGGGTTTTTTGAATTGACATAACAAGCTTCAAAGTAGCCTAGACTAGGCCACGATCTTACAAAAATCTGCTCCTTTCGTATACTTAGTATACATTAAGAAAGTGAACAGGAGCTTTAACATTGCTATGCAATTTAGTCAGATAGCATTTGCACAGTATATCCACATTAGAATATCAAGCTGCCACTTTGAAATGTACCTCAGAGCAAATAAAAGCTTGATCCAGATGATAGCCAAATTTCTATATCATTAAACAAACTAATATATGCAGATATTTTTTTAAACACTAAACTATTTGCTGCTATTTACTTGGCCGCTCTGATTCATTGTGCTGAGATTGTAAGAGTATGTCATGAGTTGTTAAACGTTTTATGGACATAAGTAGTCAACTTTACAGATAAAATACGTGTTTTGAACTGCCATCATAAAAAGGTAAAACCAAGATTTAAAAAAAATCTTTATGGCATTATACAGTGAGTTGACAACCTATCATCCAGTATTAGACAAAACAACTGAAATTAGTGCTGGTAGATTTGGGGCTAGCAGTTAAAAATAAAAATAGCAAATCTAAAAGCATGAAAACTGTATTGCCATTATGCTTAAAGACAATAATAAATCTTTAAAGATGCCAATGATTGCTTTGGATACTAGAAATGACTGCTGCCAATCAACTTTAAAATATATAATGCACAGTATTCTAAGTATCGTAACTCAAGGCAAACTCCACAACACCACAAATAATACTGTCTGCCATAAACTACTCTTCATTAGGCAACAATAAGAATTGACATCTCAGTTTCTTAGCAGTTGTGGAACTGTTGGCAGAAACACAGGGTTTTTTCAGTGTAACTCTAATTTTACAAAAAACTTCTTTGAAACCAGTTACTCTGCTCATGGGTCTTGAAAGGAAGGTCTTAAATAAACATGTCCTGAGGCAAAACCGAGAGGCAGTATCACTTTGCACAAACAACAGGAATTGCTTTTTCCCTAAAAATATATTTTATATATACATATACTCATGTGCATACACTATATAGAAACATTGGAGCTACAATTTTTCTGTTTTAAATAGTGGAACTTGAAGATGCTCAAAAGAATTCTAACCTCTAGTTGACTGTGATCTTGATTTTCAAAGACTGCTATGCACAACATTTATTAGTGCAATTTTTCAGAGTGTTTAACTATTATTTATAATTGCATATGCTTTAGCTAAATTCCCTTTTACCTCATGAGCCTCGAAGTCACAACTTTATATAAATGAATTATTGTCAATACTACTTCCTTGTTTCAGTTACTTTAAGGAATTCATTACTTGGACTTTGGTATTCTTTCTTCTTTTCTTTTCGCTTATTTCCTATATTGACTCTGCAAAGCTTTGTATTCTGACAATAACAACCAGAAAACACCAGTGGCTGATGATATCTTTTGCTAGACCACATTCAGCTTGCTCAGCTGAGGCTTTTTAATCAAGCCTCAACTAAAATCGTGCACATGTTTCTCGTTACACTCTGTTCTCAGTAATTCCCTGTTTGAATATGGCAGGTAAAGTATTAAATTGGGATGTAACATCTAGCCATGTTATCTGATGGCTTGGCAGTGGCTGACCTCATATGCCATATGAATGAAATTCACCTCACTGTAGTCCTGACATGCTGTGTTGCCTGTTGATGAGGAGGAGGCAAAACCAGGCAGGGTAGTGAAAAAAAAAATAAATAAAGGAGAGGTGAAGGTAAAGCATAACTAGTTAATATCAGACAGAGTAGTATGAAAAACTGGTATAGCAGGCCTGGAAAAGGACATTAGGCAGGCTCACCAGCCTAAATCATCCTGGTAGCACTATGAAAGGACTGTGCTGCAGCCCATCAGCCTGCCAGGGATTTGAGGAGGGAAAGGGGAAGAAGGGAAAGGGAGAACCAGAGGGGAAGGGTATTGTGTCTCATTTGTTCATCTTTTGCAGGATTCATAATTTGGGGATTGTTTGGTGTGTGTGTGTGTATGCATGTGTGTGAATTTCACCCTATATATAACTTGGAATCTTATTAGATAACAACTTGGTGACACTGTAAATCCAATATTTCTCAGAATGCTATTTTTGAAGCTGAAACACACAACATATTTTGATCCCAAAGAAGTACAATAAAGATCCCCCCTTCAAAATAAAATGAGAAATCATAAAACCCCCCAACCCTGAATGCACATGTAATAATTTCCAGGCAGGCCTCCTGTGATTTTAGCTGATTATTTAAATTTCGGACTGTCTCTTTAATTTGAGGAGCAGGGAGAGAGGCGACAGATGGCAGACAGAATTGACTTATGTCCTCTATTCTTCTGCAGAAGAAGGGGGAGTGCAGAAAGTTTGATCGAGGCAGAAGCTACAGTATGCAGTCGTGGCTATAACTATCTAATAGGTCTTTTGACGGATTGGTTCAGAATATTTAGGGGTTTTTTCTCCCCTAGACAGGCTTTGTAACAAACCCACGGTCCTAGAGGTTGCCATGGGTGACGAGAGTGCTGACATCCAGTCCCAACTACAAATAAGCACATGACAAATGGGCCCAGAGCCCTCCAACAGCTCTGAACCTTGGTGACCCCCTAAAATACCCAGTTTCTCCTTACCTATGTCCCCCTCCCCCCCAAAAAAGCATTACTGAATATATTTTTTAAAACTAAAAGCTTTCAGTTAATTGGAAACACTTTCATGTAACCAAAATGCTTAGGACAGCATGTACAAGTAAAAATAAATCATGCAGCATTGTTATTTAATGCACTGTGACATCATTTCCTGAAATTAAACAGAGATGACACAGATTCAGACAGTCCCTGCTAAGGTTCAGTTCAAACAATTCACAGATGTTTTCCTCCAGCCAGCAGAAAACAATGCAGGGCTTAAAGCACTCCTCTTCCCCTTTCCCTCTCCTTCTCTTCAGCCTTTTTGCTGGTATGAGGAGGTATGGCAGTTTTATAATACATGCGCCTGCAAAAATATTCTTTTTTTAATTTAATTACTCAGACTGTTGTACTAAATAGATGGATCATTGTGTCACAAAAGCATCAATTTTTCAGAAGAAATAACAGATGCCTATGTAACAATGATTAGATTAACCACTCCCAGACAAAGCTAGCTTTTGAGGCCCACACACCCCATGACCCCAGGTTCCCTCTTCTGTAGGGGGTGGATGTAGAAATGTCAGATCTAATCTCAGATTCCATTTTTAAAACAAACAAAGCCCCACCCCCACCTCATTTCAGCTCTTTTCTTTTAAGACTGTGGTGTTTAAAAGGTATATGAACGTTTGATCTGTTACTAAATCTCTGGGGCTGATTTCATGGCCAAGGACTAAGAGCACTTGGAGGATGAAACATTTCAGCCTGGGATCAGAAGTGACATTTTGAGAAAGATTTCCAGTTTTATTCTGTCCAGGCTGGTGATGCCATACCACAGGCAAGCGGGACACGAGGGCGATGTCTGTGACATTCGGCAGGGCTACGCTACCACCAGCTACAACAAATGCAGCCACTAGCAATTCTGGTGAGTGACAAGAGCAACTTCAGGGTACAAAGACACACAGCTCCATCACCTTGAGGACCACAGGACCACAGGTCAGGGAAGTTTAACTTTTGGATACTGATTTTTCTTTAGCAATAGGGTGAAATCATTTAACCTCTCCTCACAAAGTTTACCCAGTTGAAAAATGAGCACAATATTATTTTTCAGGGCATGCTTCCAGTTGGATGGTGTTTGTACAGTCTGAAAGGTCTGTCCTACAGCAGCAGGCAACTTGTTACCTGGCTGCAAATTTAGGATGCGGTCAGCCCTACCTAAAAAGGAGACCTGGAATAAAAGTGTACCTTAGGGTCCTCCAACTCTCTGACTCCGTGGTGCACTGATGTCAGCCATGTGAACTCACATGCAGGGTGTTTTACAGAAAAATCAAGGACATCATCCATCTCCTCATTGTACCCTGGGAGTGTATAGCACGTTACAATGCAGTCCAACACATGTGCTAAAATTGTCTTCACATTCCTGTATTTTCTTAGTCTCCCAGCTGCCTTATCACCATTTTAACTGGACAAAGGTCTGTTGTACTTTTGGGGTTGGTTTTTTGTTTTGTTTTGCTTTTTTGAAGTACAGAAAAAACAGCAGTGTGAAGAAAGCTTTTGCTAGAGCCCAACTCTAAGGAAAGCTAGTCTACTGTTTGGTAGGAAAGTAAACCATTCAGTGTGGAGTGCAATACCAAGCTACATTCCTAACCCTCCTGTAGGTATTATTCTTAAAAGCATGATATGGGAGGAGATATTTATGAAGATGGGGTGGTTTCAACTGTTTTGAAAGCTTGCTCCAAGATTGGCTTTGGTTGATGACATTCATCTCTAGAATCAAATCTAACGAAAAAATAAAATAGCAGCACTGTATTAAAGGCTTACTAAGCCATTCATCAAAATATAAGAGAATCATTATATTCTCAGATACACCCACACAAATACAGAAGGAAAAAAAAAAATAGAATCTGTTTCAGTAAGACTATTCATATCATTCAATCTGGCCACCTGAATATGGCAAGTTAAGAAAATTAATTCAGGTAAGTACAGAAGCTGTGGCTGATTCATTTTAACACTTTCCAGCAGAACTTACTCTAGCCTGACACCAAAGCACATCAAGCCAAAATCTACTCTACAAGAGACTATGTAAAAAGCAAGATTTCAGCCAGAAGATTGTAGAGACCAGGTGAAGATGACACTCTTCAAACAAATGTTAGGAGACAGAACTTCAGCTAGCAAATAAAACAAAAAACCCAACTCAACTCCAATTTCGGGGAGACACCCCAACCATCATCAGCTGGGAATCTGGCACTGTCATAAAAAACGTTTAGTTTGCAGACCTTTGGTGTATCTGGTACCTTTAGTGAAGATACAGATCTTCCTACATACTGTAACAAAAGAAACAACCAAAACAGAATTTCAACAAAGTGCATGACTCCAGGTAAGTGTCAAAGAATAAACATGTCTGTGTTCTACTAGCTCTGTAAAAGAAGGGGGAAAAACATTGACTGTAGCAAAAGTGCAATCCTTGAAACACTGTGCTGCAGAAAGCGATGAACTACCAGAGGTACAAATCCGAAGAATGGTATGATTGCTTCCTTTATAACTTTGTTCTCTTCTGATTATGTACATCCATTTTAAAGGTCCTCCACCCCTCAAAAGGGCATGGGAGGAGGGGGGCCGGCTCTGTATAGTTTCTGGTAAGAAATCCTAATCTCAACATTGCTGTAAACTTGAGGTGTCTATACATTTGAGCACTTCCTGTTTTCACTTCGTGATCAAACATGTTCTTTGCAGGGCAAATAGGGGAGCACTTGAGGGAGGAAAGCAGAGATGTCTGAGAGGCTAATTGAGTGTACTAAGGACTCCTTGGCATAGAGGAAAAGAAGTATTCCAAAGCTATGAATAAACTCTCGGCTTGGGTCAGATTTCTTGCTGTTTCTTTATTTTAACCACCTTTGAACTCAAATAAAAACAGCCTTAATGTCAGGTTTACCTTTCTGATGTCATAATCTTTATGTACTATTGAAAAGCTTACACTACCAGACTAGGATTTCCTCTACTTTCTTAAACACTGGATATTGTCCAGAAAAAGCATGTACATTTCCAACCAATTCATCCTCAGATCTTTCATCTTCCGGTACCGTTGTAATTCCAAATGTAAGACAGAGCTCAGTAAGCGAATGAGAACATGACAGAAGCTCCTACTCCTTGCATTTAATTTCCTACAATAAAAACATGCATGTGTATCCTATTTCAAATATAATTAAAGTTACTGCAAAATGGAAGCTGTGATAGGGGTTAGAAATTATTTTGAAAGACACAGCCTGTCAGATACATTCATTTTACATCAGTATTCAAGTGCCTGTCTCTCCAAAAAAAGCCACTTAGGCAATTCAATTTTTAACATTGGCTACCTTAGGAGTTTGCAAACTGATTGAATAAAAGTAAAAAAGTAACATTTTCTTTAAAATCATAAGTAAATACAATTAGTCGGAACTAAGTTACTCTCTTTGAATTTGGCAGTCTAAAGGAATTTCAAATTTAATCCACGCCATAAGGATGGACTGCCACTGCCTCTCCTTCCAGGGAAACCAGAGGTTAATGATTTTTGTCATATTGAAACTAACAGCTAACAATTGCTACAGTTGGCCTTTAGTATTTTATTTGTCCTTTTGAGGTATTCAGAAAAGGTGACAATGGCTTGCAGTTGAGAACATATGTAGAGAGACCCCTGTGGCTTATGGAAAAGTTGCTCCATGCTGGTTGGGTGTTTGAAAAAAAATACAACCAGAGCTCTTTTATGTTCCTCTCCTTAATGAATGCATGAATGTCAAAATGTACCAATGGCCCATTCAGGGGGCAAAGCCTAAGCAGCTCCTTCTTTAAGAACACATCCTGAGATGTAAAATACATTTGCTTAACAAATTAAAATAATGAGATAATTCAATTAGTTTCTTTAAAAAAAAAAGAGAGAAAAAAAGAGAAAGAAAAAAGGGTACATCAGGGGATTATTGTAATACAAGAACAGGTCATACAGCACAAAGGAGGAACAAACCAATTTGAAATAAGGTTAGAGTAGTAATGAAGGAATGTACATTGAATCATGGACTGTCATTGTAAAGATATTTACTTGGAACAATAAAATTGTACATCACAGATTCCCCCGTTCTGGCTCAGCCAGTATTGCACTTTGAATGGACAAGCTAATTTGAGAAAAAGTGTAAGATCTTTAAAAGAAAGGAGTTCTCTTCCTCCCTGCATGTGTTTATGGCAAGAATCCTTCTGAATTTACATTGCACTGGTCAGGGGTCTCCATTATCAGTTTGCAGGTCTGAGAATTACAGCACAGTAAATCTTTCAACACCTGTAAACTCATTAAAGCTTGGATGGTAAAAGGTTTGGGGGTTTTTTGTGTTCATTTAATTTGAGAGACCATCCTCACCAGTGATGGCGAATTTCCTCAATTCATGCAGGATGAAGAGGATCAGGAGAGAGAGGGTGGAATCATGGAAAAGAGATTGCAAAAAGCCAGGAGGACTTTCCTCAAGAGAAGTGAGAAGCAGTTGGCTATTCAATAAGTATCTGTCGAATGCTTTCAGTAAGCACATAAGAAAGGAAGGCAGGGAGAAAAAAAACAAGGTATCACAAATTTCATGAGAGGAAATGGAATTAACACAGAGACATGTGCAAAATAAACTGGTTTATTTGTGGCCCTGCTTTTTGCTGTCTGCCTGTACTACTCCTCTAAAGATACCCTACAGCTAAATGAAAAACCCTCCACTCACACTCACTCGACTTCCAAATTAAAAACATTTTACAGGTTAGTAAATCTCCAGCTGAGGTGATGTAGCAAAGAACAGCTGTGAAGTAATTTTGATAATGATGAGAATAATAAGCACATGGCAAGGTTCAGGGCTTTGCTGTTGCAGCTTCAGTGCTCCTGAATAGATAAAAGTGATTAAATAGTCCTGATTATCCCTGACCAATATGTAATGGATTTACAGCCCTTTCAATTAGTCAGTATTTGCTTAGGACTCATTATTTTGTCTTTGGTTAAGTAATCAGCCCAGAGACTCATGTTCTGTCTAATTCCTCTGAGCCAAGTGGGTACAGGGCACCTGACCTTTGAAATGGCCATAGCTGGGAGGCAGGAATAACCACTACTCCAGCAGAGACACTGGCTATTCCAGCTAATCCTGACCCCACAGGCCAGATCAATGCACCTTAGTTTGCTACTAATGTCCTTACATCAAAATGATGGTTTAGAAATGTGGATCTATCGCTCCCCCCTTTAGCTGTGCTGCTAGCAGAGCAGTTCGATAGTCCCTATCATAAATAAATCGGGTACCTTGTCCTGAAATCATTACACTGTAACCAACATCAGCTACTGTGGAAATTTATAAAACTTTGGTAGAAGAAGGGGTAGTTAATAACAGTTAGCATTTTAAGCCTTAGCAAGTGAGAAACAATTTTACAGTGAGAGGAAGAAGAAAATCAATTGATAATTTTACCAATTTTCATTATTTCCCACATGAAGTAAACTACAAAGAGTGCTACTGGGTGGAACCATGTTTTGATGCCTAAGTGAAGCTGTAATAGTCAACAGAACACCAACACATAATCCCAATTCCAAGTGGGAGGATAAAGGTAGCCCATAGAAAGCATTGCTTTTCCACATATTTAATCTCTCTCCCCCAAATGTGAATATGGCTGCTTTTTTTACATAATGGACTTAAAGAGAAGCTGAAAAGGTGCTTTTTCTCTCTGTTATGCAACCAGAGAATTAAAGAACATGTAAGCCTTCCATATTTCTCATGAAAAGTAACAATGACAAGTTTGCAAGTTGCTTCTTCGACTAACATTCACAGTGTATTTCAGCACAAAATGACCGGGGTTCTCTCTTCCACCAGGTACATATGAAGCTTTTGTAAGCAGAGACCAGCAGTAAAGAATCAAGAAGGCAGAGCTTTATAAATTCTAAAGCAACAAATCCTCTTTTTTGTCCTTAAAAAATTTTTAATAGTTCAAAGCAATAGATGGTTACTTTATACGTAGGTGTTCTTCCATGCTAAGGCTTTGTACTCTCTCTCTCTACAGGCATGTATGTGTGTACATACACATATATATTTATAAGGTTTCTTCCAGATTTGTCATGATTCCAAGAGCCAAGAAAAAAAAAAATCTAGAAGAGAAAAAATTAAGCAGCAATAATTGAGCCCTAATAATGGTCCAAAAATTATGGGGACAATTGATTTCTAATAATGATGAATAAACCTCATTAAGCACATGAATAGAAATCTATTTTGATTTTGGGCACCACTTACTGTGAGATGCTGGAAAAGCCATGCTCTCATGATATTTGTTGCTACTTTGGGGAAAATGCCTCTTTTCTTCTGACGCTTTTTGTCCTTGTCTGGGTCATCATCATCCCCTGTACCAGGTGAGGCTACACTGTTGTCTAACCCATCTCCTACAACAAAGGGAAAAACAGGAAGGAGACATTTAATGAACAAAATATAGAAGCCAAAAAATATTATTAATTACCAAGACACTATTACAGTCTTATTTTGATTTGCTAGATCAGACACATAGTTTCTCATTATATACAAGTGCTGATACAAATATGTAAAAATTAGAAACCATGTCTCTCCAAATACTAATTTTGTGTTTCACACATGCGTATATCATTAATTCAATTATAATTGTGTGTTTGACATAGTGCAATAGCTCTTTGTCAATTATGGGATTCAATTTGGGAAAACGTGACACAAGAAAACCCATTCACTGTAAATGCATCCCTACAACCATTCTGAATACGTACTATAAGTAATCAAGTTAAATGTTCTGTAGTCTATATATTCAAGGCCCTCTGCAGAGGTGGCAGTAACCATGTCACTGTTCAGTGCACATAACACACTGTCAGATGAGCCCCTCCCCATAACCATCACCTCCCAATACACATACATACGCACGCACAAACACGTACACCTAGTATTACCCTGCATACAGCGCTTGCATGACATGAAAACTTCTACATCTCTGCATCAGTGATTATTATCATTAAAAAAAAAGAAAGATGCACATCAAGGTAGAACTCTCACTTAATCAGAACTTTCCATCAACATCTTTCTCTTCTGTGCTTTTCCCTGGCATTAATTGTGCATTAGCAAAAATCATTTACTTTTAACAGTCATAGTTATTTTTTCTTGCCCTCCAGCAAAAATGCCTTGAAAGCCTGCCTGGAGGGCATCTAAATTATGTATCTGAAAAACTCTTCTGGCAAGGCATTGCAGGACCCCTACTTTCTTAAAATTCATACGAGCACGTCTTCCTGTTTTTGGGAAGGCATCAATCAAGAGCAGCAATATATGCCATATCCCTACATTAATATTTGAACTAATAACTTTAAAAAAAGGAAAGAAACAAGATCCGACTTGTGGCATAATCAAATGCAAAATAAATGAAGAATACTGGGACAGCACTGAGACTTTATAGATTGCTGTGTTTTCCTTACACATCATTAGCCCGGAGCCACACGAAAGAGGAAAACAGAGAAGTGGAGAGTTTATGCTCCCTGCTGGTGTTTAAGAAGCTGAGGTCCTGGAAGGACATCTGGGAATTGTGCTGAGACGGTGGTTTTTGTAATTTAAGAATAGACATTCATTAGCAGTAAATGCCATAAATCCCATGCTAAGTAAAAACCTTGTCCAAGAAAGCCTAAAACAATAAACTCTGTGCTCAATGTAGCCTGAGCTAGACGCTCCATAGCTTCCTGAGGAATGCTATAGATTCACGAGCTAATTCCTATAGCCTTGTCTAGCTCTGTAGTGCTACTAAACGAAATATGTTGCGGCTACATACAGTCCATTTGCTTCAAAACTTGCATTTCAGCTCCATCTTCCCTCCTGTGCTGTATCACCCTTCTTCTACTGCCTCCCCTTTGAAAAACCAACCCTTTTGGACCAGAGAGACAGAAAAAGCCACAGCAAAGAGCTGGCAGATTAATTTTATTGACATTTCCATTTTCACTGCAATGTGATACCCTCCATCACATGGAAGAGATGACCCTCACTATTTACAGACTGACAGGCCACTTCATTACAACCACCCTGCCCCAAGGCAGAGCAGCTCCTTTCCATCTGCCCAAACACCAGAGCAAGACCCTGAAGTCACTGCTCTCTTTCTCATGCTCCTTTTTCTTTCCTTTTTTTTTTTTTTTCTGTTTGTTTCTGTTAAATATAGAGAAAGGAGCAAACTAACCAAAGAGATTATGGAAGCCTTAAATGTTGTAACCAACTGTTCACTTTTGCAAGATGTTGGTTATTTAGAAAGCGCTCCTATCCATTGCTTTCTCCCCCCTACCCCATATTCCACCCTACCCCTCTCTCTCACACACACACACACACACACACGCGCATGCACACACACACACACACACTTTCCACTATGCCAAGGAACTGCTGCAAGGCAAATTCTCACAAACACTAATGGCTTCTGACTGCTCCTTGGCAACCCCAGCATTTTAACCTGGGTGGATATGCTCTCCAAAATACAGACACTGGAGCTATCTCATCAGCTGTTCATGTGACACAGATGGAGAGTGGCTATTAGGAGCCAGGCAATGGGCCTTGGGGATCTGAGGTGCTGTACTGTAGCCTCAGGCAATTTTGAAAAGCAGTACCCAGAGATGGGAGGGGGAAAAATCCCTACTGAAAGTGCAAGTTTGAAGTCAGTCAGTCTGTTTGTCTATCTGTCGTGCAGATAAAGATATCTTTGTCTCTTTATGTAAAAACTATGTGTGTATGCACATGAGGCGTGGACCTACAAAACTTCTGCTCTGCACCATCCTTTGGCACCACAGAAGCACTGGTTCACTCTCTGAATGAACAAATGTTTGTCTGCATATACATACTTTCCTGTTTGTGAGCATCATCAGCAGGAGGCACTTACATGCTAAATCAGTGTTGAAACCTTTTGGAGAGGTTGTTGATATCCTGGTTTTAAAAAGCCAATAACAGCTCAAGAGAGGAAAATTCAGCTGAAGCTCCCTTGCCTTCCCACCTTACCCAATGATAAGAGTCAGTGCTTCCCTAATCTATTACATAACCTCAGGAAATGAAGTTCAAATATCATACCTCCAAATGACCTCAAAAGATAAATATAGCAAGATTTGTTGCTTCTGGTGAACTACAGACACAATTCTGTTAATTTGTATTGTCATGTCTCTACTAGGACTACAGCTGCTCACATTAATGAATACTGCTTCTAGTGGCAAGAAATCAGAGAAGTAGCCCATAACAGACTTTTCCAAGATGGTATGATTTGCTTGTTCAATATGGAGAGCCTGATCCTAGTCTGCTGTATCCAAATAAACATGACTTACCTTAAATGAAGAAAACAAAATTATCAAAAGTGAAATAAAATTAACTGGCATGAAAGTCACACTATGGCAGAATGGATTAACTATATTTTTAACTGCTGTTTAAAGGAATCTAAATTTAAATCATTTAAACCATCATGACAAGTGATTCTACTCATGTGAACTGTTCATATCCTGATTTGGATGGTAATTTGTAAGAAGAGTAGAGTCAAATCCTAATTTGTATGGAAATTGCAATTATATAAGCACATTACCCTGATTTTCTAGTGGGGAAATGAAGTCTCGATTTTGGCCCACTGACTGTATTTCACACAGTGGCAAAAAAAAAAAAAAAAAGCAGCATGACTTTCTCCTGCTTTGCACATTGTTCACTCGTTTATTCTTGTGCAAAGAGTACAAGTGATAGCAAAACCCTATCACTGTTCTAAGAAAGTGGAGAATTCTTGAGTGGTACTCTCTTTGTGGAGGTGTCAATGACTATGAAGGATTCAAGCCAGTAGAGAAGTAAGCATATTAGCCAGCTTGTTTCAGATAGTATCAATGCTATGCAACAGTCTCAATAATCCCTTTAAGAAATGGAGAGAGTTTAGATGAAGTTAGTTTGCAAAGTGACCCACACAGGATTCCTTAGAGACCTTCTCTTCTAGAAGAAGGGTTTGTGGAGGACGCTGAAGATGCAAGTCTTCTTTACATGGTGGGAAGTTAGACTTCCACACGAGCTCTGTGTGCAGATACTTAGCACATTCTGAGGGTTTCTTCCCACAAGATAAACTATTTTACATTGAAAGCAAGGGAGACTACCTGTTATCTTAAAAATATCAAATAACTAGTTAAAGCAGGGTTTCCATTGTACCGTAATTTCAAATTTAACTTGCTACAAACTGATTACCTTGGACAGTCTAGCTTGCTGACACCAATGTGCATATAACTGAGGACTTTTCAGGAAATAGAGTCCAGTCTTAGAGAAGGCCTGACCAACCTTATTGCATCAATGAGTTCCTCTTTGACAATCCTCCACGCTATCAGTATTATCTCAACCCTAGTCCTTGTCGGTGTTCCTCACAGAGTAAGACCCAGCAAGAGACGAAGCAAATGCTGTTTATAAGCTGCTCATCTAGTCTTTTCACCATTTGTGAACAGGATGAACAAAAAATTCCCAATCTACACCAAATGATAACTGAAAAGGATAACTCAGTCAGGCCAAAGCACAGAAGACCAGATTCAAACTCTAGAAATAGTTCCTATTACCAGCATAACAAGCAGAGCAGTAAGAAAAGTGATTTCTGGAATACTACATTTTGGGACTCAGTATTTGAGTTCCTTCACTGTCAGAGGTTCCTTACAGCTTTATGGTTTATCATGCTAAAGGAAAAAACAGAAGAGCAGGGGTATCTGAAATGAGGGGGAGATAAGACACTTCACCATTTTTTCTATAAGTAGTGCAAGCAATATCAAAACCAAGTTAAAGGATTCTGAAAAGGAAAGCTGCAGTGCACTATGCTGATCTTAAGTAAACTACTCTACAATCTTTCAGTCCAGTATTTTGATGCATAGAATATCAATATAGATATATAGAATAGAATATATATAGTAGAATATAAATGCAAAATGAAGAAAAGAATCTGCATGCAGCTTATAGTCACAATTTGCAATTATTTGTTTGTACATATAATGTGTCCATCTGGTCACATAAGTATTGTGAATCGTTATTAATAAGGATGTTCAGCTTTGTAAATGATCTATATCACCAGCAGAGAAAAATCTTAAAAATCTGGTTAGTTACCACTGCCAAAAAGCTGGAAAGAGAAGTGTTTGAATATATTTTGAAGATAAGACAGTCTGTGCTCTGGGGAGACTAATAGAGAGGGAAGGTCAGCTCCAGAATCAAAGACCCTTCAGGAGAACTCCTTATCTCCATTCCACCCTGTTAAAATCATCAGGCCTTTAGCCTTCAAGCTTCAGAAGATCACAAGTCTTTGAATGAAGTGCTAGCTATGGGTTTGAGTATTTTCCCTCCTTTTAATGATCCCTGTTCATGGAAGTTGACTTAAGTGTCCTCACACCACAGAAGCAATGCTTATCTACTGCAT